CTTCCACCAGATCTCACACATGACACCCAGACACTGTTAAACGTGCTGGGCAGTGTAGGCTGCAAAGGGTATGACTAAGGCAAGATTATTTATAGCTTGAGGGACCAAGAGCAGCCAGCTCATCTTAGTTGTGGTTCCAACTATAGTCCATTCTAAATTATTACAGCTTTTGGCTTAGGTGAAGACATTTAATGTAAGGCCATTTTACCACTTTATACCAATCAGGATTCTTCACAGGCTCCCAGTATGCAGTTGGATGCTATTCTCTGGTTAAATGTACTGTTCTGCTGTTATCACTGAAAGCATCATCACTGCACTTACCCTCACCACTCTGACAATTAAAGGATCAGGGAGGAAAACAGGGGTTTTGGGTGTTTTTTTTTTTTTATATACTGAAGGTAAACGTGATGACAAAGACCTGCCTGGGATAAATCTGATTTCATTTTCTAAAGCACCAGAAGCATGCTCACTGAACTCACACTTATGTACCTGGCTGAGACCTACATTCACACACACCACAAACCCTGGCTCCTGTGTGGCAGCAGGAAACAGCAGGGCAAGGACAACTTTAGGATTCAGGGAGAAGAGGCTGCAGGAGGCAGATGTATCTGGGGCCCTGGCTGATAGATCATCTCTAGTGCTGGAATGAGGATGTTGGAGCTGCGAGCCACAATTGCCACCCTCAAGTCTAGATTCTCTCTACCAGGTGGCAGGTATGAGATCATTCAAAGCTGTGACCTTGGATATTTCTGTAAAGCAGTGCACCATTTTTACCCCGGGCAGGTGCTTTCGGCTCTGTCTTTTCCTTGTTGGTTTGTCATGTTCTTTTGCCAAATCCCCTATTGCTCTGATGCCATCAAAATATGGATGCTGCAATAGCTGTTCACATGTCAGTCTTTCAGCAGGGTCCATGTGGAGGCAGCCCTAAAGGAAAAGAAAATTCCCTCTTCTTACTTCTTTAAAATTGTGTTAGCTTATTAATGTGCTTTTTTTCCTTCTTTGAAAGATTAAACTCTTCAGCTGAGAATAAAGGAAACAAAGTAGAAAAACACAGAAGTCATGATTTTAGTCCCTCCCACAGTCATTCCTAAGTGGGTACCGGTGTAATAAATAGTTTCTAGAGGTAGTAACAAAACATCATTTTCTCCACTTTGGTCTGTTTTTGAGGCTGTTGGTGCTTTGCCCTGCAGGAATAGGATATGATTTTGGAGTTCACCTTGGTGATCAACTGGGATAATCCATTTAGCCAGTTTGGTTCCTTGCACGTACTTTGTAAAAACTAGTGTTTTTATTTGAAAAAAAAAAATTTTTTTTTTAAAAGATGACCAGTAAGGGGATCTCAACCCTTGACTTGGTGTTGTCAGCACCACGCTCAGCCAGTGAGCAAACCGGCCATCCCTATATAGGAGCCGAACCCGTGGCCTTGGTGTTATCAGCACCGCACTCTACCGAGTGAGCCACGGGCCGGCCTTGAAAAATATTTATACATGGTACAAATAAAATTTATGCAGTATATAGCAAAGTCTCCGCAACTCTAGGTTCTTCTACTCTCCCTTCTAGAATCAGGTTTTTTTTTTCAGTGTATCTTTCCATAAATAATCTATGCATTACAAGTATATGTGAGTATGTATGTAAGAAGAGGCATAATATATATACCTTTATAGTACATCACTCTTAACTATTTTCTTTGCCATTAAGTAGGCCATGGGGCTCATACTTGGATAGATTAAATCCACAACTACATGCCCCAAGGAACTGTCTCGATTTTTTTTTTGTTATATCATAAATGCATCAGCAAATGTATTAAATAACTTTTGAAATGTGTGGGACACTGACTGTAACTTGCCAATATTTTAATTGGTACCACACTACGTTTTACATAAGAGCTATATTTATAAAAGTATATGTAAATCAAGTCTTAAAATCAAAACATACTTCTAATGTACTAGGGAGTTGTCTATTTAAAAGGATCCTTCAGCTTAGCATTTTTTGAAGAAAAGGAACCCTTTGTAAAAGAAACACCCTTGAAATTTCTATTAATTTTTCTTTTGTGTAAATTTACATTTCAAATATATGTTAGGTTCATTGAAAATGAGAAATAACGTTTCAGATGTTTTCATGGTAATAGACTGTGACCCATTTCAAAATAAAAGTATTTACACTTTTCAAAAGAGAATTTTAAAAAGGAACACTTTTCATTTCATGGATCAACATAAGCAATTTAGATTCCCCAATGATGACAAATGCTGTTCGCTTCCTGGTGTTGGAAGTCATGATTTTACCTTTAAGATCCCCAGGGCAGGATAAGAGATGTTTGGAAATTTTAATTCAAGTGGTTCCTGTTGAAAGAAAAGGAGTTTTTAATTTACAATTTGTATTCAAATTAAGGTTACCTCAAATTAAATTTCCTTGAGTAGATGCTTCTTCCTGGCACCCTCCTCGCCTCCTCCCCCTTTGCTCACTCCACCTCCCACCTAAAACTACCTCACAAAGCCTGTTTCACAAGCTCCTTCTCTCCCTACCTGTAAACTGCTTTTCCAAATTTACTTCCTAACCACTCCCTTCACTTCACGAAGAACCTGTGCAGGTAGCAAATTATAAGTAAATACTAATGGGGAAAAAAAACCCAAAACACTTGAAGAGCAATTGTTATTTCATTTTTTTCTGCCTCAATTTATATAACTTGCCTTTCCTCAGAATAATTTTTGGCATTTATATTGGCATTATAAAAAGGGGGCCCTAATTATTGCATCTATTGACATTTATATAAAGGGAGCTTTAAAATAGATTTTTTTCCCTCCTACCCAGGTGAACAGATGCTTCTCGGTTTTCTGGGGTAAACACTGTTGTCTCCTCCTACAAGAGCCTGCTGTTTCTCTGATCTGCCCACTGTTAAAAGTCTTGGGAATGGGAGCTGGCATTCATCAATATCCCTTGGCCATATAAGGCTATTTTGTTCCAGTCACATACTGGAGACAATCAGGAATAACACTATAAACGGAAGGAATGCTCAATGTCAGGCAGACAAACAGTGCAGTTAAAGAGATATACCTTTATTCTCTAACTGACAAAGGCTAATTGAGGAGGGAAGCTGAGAAAATAAGAGCCAGCCAAGCTGAGCAAAATGAATGACCACAGTGTGTGTTGTGTATACAGATGGCAGTGTGTGAGCTGGAGGCTGGAGTGACTGGCTAGCCTCATCTAGTGAAACCCAGTCCCAGTGCTGTGGTCAGGCTTCAGAGCACAGTGTTAGTTTGGACAGGGAACCAGCCCCTAACAACCCACCCTCGATTGTGCACATACTAATCACTGATAACAGTGAGAGAGAAGAGCATCAGTTTTGGAGCTCCCTACATTCAACAGGAGAAGAAAAAATGTTAAAGCAAGTTTGCATTAGCACTTTAGAGTACCCCCCACCCCCACCTCCAGCTTAAATATTTCTCTTTTTCTTTCTGTGTGTTGAATCTGGGCACTGCTGGGGATTGACTGGGATGAGGCTGGCTGGCTGGCTGTGATACGCTGGGGCCCATCCTGCCTGCTGAGCCAGTTTCCCAGCCCCAGAAGCAAGCAGGCCTCCCTCTATCAGGGTTACTGGCAGGAGAGGGACCGGGCACAGATGTTCAAGCAGCGCAGCCCCCACACTGTCTCTTCCTGTGCTTCTGTCAACAGGAAGTCTACTGCAGGACAACCTCTGGGAAACCATGGGAAGCTTTAAATATTTATGAAACCTGGCTGGTTTCTGAGGCATCACCGGTAGACAAGTGAATAGGAAATTGCTAAGGGATATTTAGTGGTGTACTGAGAATGTCCAGGTCACAATGGGAGTCAGATGGGTGGCCTCCCATATGCCAGGTGTCATTCCTGCCTCTCTGTCCCAGCACAACCCACTTTTCCTAATGCTCGTGCTGCAGGAGGGGGAGGCAATGGGGAAGTGGACTCCTTCCCTGTGGGACAAGCTGAGAGTCCGAGGGAAGACACAGAACGCGAGTGGTCAGGGACACACGGAACTCCCATCTGGAAACTGAGCAAGTGGAGAGTTAGTTTCAATTTGAAAGAACTGTACCTTCCTTAGACAGAGAAACTCTGGATTTCAGAAACCTTAGTTATGATCTGAAATGTTTTGGATTATAATCCAGGCTCACTAGAAGACATTCAAAAACATGAAAAACCATAAAGAATAGAAAAAAATCAACCCAGGGCCGACCCTGTGGCTCACTCGGGAGAGTGTGGCACTGGGAGCGCAGTGGCGCTGGAAGTGCCAAGGCTGCGGGTTTGGATCCTATATAAGGATGGCCGGTGTGCTCACTGGCTGAGTGCGGTGCGGGCGACCGCACGCCAAGGGTTGCGATCCCGTTACCGGTCACATAAAAAAAAAAAAAGAAAGAAAGAAAAAATCAACCCAAAATCCTACCACAAAGAGATACCCACTGTTGACATTTTGGTATATATCCTTGCTGCCATTTATTTCACAAATATAAAAAGCTTTGCATGATTTCCCAGAAATTGTCATATTATTTTGTTTATATATGTAAATATATGTATATTAGTATATTAAATATTTATTACAATTATGTCAAACTTCATATTGTTTTATAACCATTTTTTTTCATTTAACAATATGTTGTAGGTTTTTTTCAGAAAATTAGATGTAAACCTAATTATTTTATTTTTACTGGCTATGTGGTATTTCTATTGTACGGATGTACCATAACTCATGTAATTAATCCCCTACTGATGGAACCCTAAAGGAAATAATTTCTCTTAAATAATGCCACATCTTTGTTCCCTTGCCTAATGGTTTCATTGGAATAAATTGTTGGATGTGGGGTAAGGATATGAATATTTTTAATTTTTTAGTTTTTTTTAAATGAGTGTTTCCCACATCAGCCACAGAGGACAGGCACCAGAGTGAGGCTGGCCACGTAAGTTCATTATGGTTCTCCCACATGGTCTGGGGATTGAGAGCACAATAGAGTAGGGAATTTGGACAGTGCTGGAGAAAAACTATTAACTTCTCCCAGATGGGTCAGTGTCTAAAAGTTGATTTGCTCTGAGCCACCTAAGTTCAATTGCTGAAAATGATTAAGGACAGGCGTGGCTAGAGCAGGCAGCTCTGCATTCCTGCCCAACGACTGGCTAAACTCTGTTATCTAAATCAGCCTCTAAATCAGTGCTGAAGGCCAAGGTCTTGCCGGCCAATTTGCTCTAATTTTCTTTTTCACTCTTAGACTGACGATCCAGTGCAGGGTGAGCAATGGGGCTCAGGCGGGTGAGTAACTATCAAAACCTAGGTAGCCTGGCCTGCAGAGGTCTCTGCAAAATGGGTCACTTACCATATCTTCAGGGTCTGGAATTTTCACCCCACTGAAGTACTGATTCGTGCTAAATACTTGCTGATGCCTAGGAATGAGATCTCCTTTGGACAAGAAGAAAGAAGGAGGTAAGTAAGATTGATTGGCAAACACTGATCTATGGTTTCCCTCCATCAAAGCTGTGTTAGTGTCTACACCTATGAAACCTGCAGTTTTTTCTACCAATCAGAGGGAGAAGCATTCAGGCAATACATTCTGTATTGAGTCCTATGTGGACAACACACTGTTAGACACAGAGGAGGCAAGCAACAGAAATTGAAAGCTCCAAATTTCTTGCTCTCAAAGGCTTACAGTGTATTTTAGGAATCCAAACCAAACAACTCAGAAGCACACACACACAAGTAAAATAATATCTTTAAAAAAAAATAGCAAAAGTGCAACAACTACAAATCAAAATCATGTTAACTGAATCCTGATGAGTCGAGATGAAAGTGTACTGGCCTAGCACTGAGACCAGTGCCCAACATATAGCAAGCACTTAATAAGTATTTAAGGAAGGAAGGGCAGGAGGGAGGGGGAAAAAAGAACAAATCATGGAAGATTTTCTAGCTAGAAGGAATACGTTTCCAAATTGGAATCACCTTTTCTTGCTTCACCAATTAGTGATCAATTGGAAATCCCATTTCTTCTACTGCATAGATGTACTCAACAATGTGAAGCAATGAAACAATATTCCAGGGGATCATGTGAAGCTTATCCTGCTCACGTTTCAGCCAGAGGAGCTAACATTGCCCTCATGTAAAATTCTGGGAATATTACACTAGAAGAGGAATTTTGTTCGGAGAATATAAGGAGATATTCAGAAGGGCTTCCCTGGAACACACCCAGGCCCACTTTCCAGAGCAGAGTAGAAAACAAAAACTTCCCAACCAGGGGATCAAACAAGCTGCTATGGGATGGGCTAGAGTTCCTATACTGGGGTATTAAATTGTCTAATTTTACTGATTTGTTTTAGAACTTTACCTCTCACTCAAATCCAAAAATGGCTGCCTTGCCTCCTTTTGGACAGGCAGCCAAAATATACCCTCTAATGCCTTGCCCCACAGCTCAGTGAGCTTCATCATGAGCACAATTTCCTGTACCTTAATAACCTTCTTCCATCAGAGCTGGAGGGGTGACACTGGATGTCCTAAAATCACTGAAGGAAACATAGCCAAGGAAGGCTGTGTGCTCCTGGAAGGACTACAAGGTGCCTTACAGGTCACTCTACAAAATCAAGCTATCAGCAAGTACTGCCTACAATGCGCAGACACTGGCAGAGAATAAGTAGAAATATAAGACATGATCTCACCCTCAGGCAGCTTATAGCACCTTTGGGAAGAAAAGAGTACAAGGCAAGACAAGGTGAGAGCAGGTGCTACAAGAATTTGGAGAGGAGGAAAAGTTTGCTTTAAATCGGAATACTCAGGGGAGCAGTATCTAAACTACCTGACTTTTGAAGTGGGCAGTCACTGCTTATGGGTCTTTTTATCTGTCCCTTACCTTCCTTCCCTTTTCCCCTGCCCTTCCCCCTGCTCCATCAAGGGTAGAGAGAAAGGAAAGCCAGACAAGAAGAGTGACATTAGAAGAACCAGCCTTTCTCCCTGACATTTAGAAGACTGAGATTCTTCCTTTATAGACTCTGAATAATACACACTAGTCAGGTTGGCTTGAAATAAGGAGATCAAAATGAATTATCATATCATATCATATCATAATAAATGAAATAAACCACAAAAGCATTCTGTAAATTACTAAGCCTTTGTACAAATTTAAGTCCTTATGGAGGCCATAACATTATTTAGAGTTTAACTTGATCCAAACTATGCTCAAAAGAAAATATTTTGTCTTTTGGCCAAGCAGTTAAGTACTCAATAATTATTATTTTGTTGTTTGCTTTTTATTTTGTGGTGGGCAGCCGGTATGGGGATCTGAACCCTTGACTTTGTTGTTATAACACCGCACTCTAATCAACTGAGCTAACCAGCCAGCCCCTTTTAATTATTTATTATTTGTTTATTTATTTATTTTGGCAGCTTGCTGGTAAGGGGATCCAAACCCTTGACCTTGGTTTTATCAAAACCATGCTCTAACCAACTGAGCTAATTGGCCTGCACTTCAATAATTAATTATTTTTATTAAAACAAACATGGACACCTTGAACATAGTCATTTAAATGAGGCTTCAAAGCTTCTCCTTCCTAACTGTAAAGGGCATTAGATGAGACTAGGAACTTGGTTCTGCCCTGCACCAATGTGGGTCAAATTATCCAGTTTTCCAAAAGGGGGGACAAAACCACCACTTACCCAAAGTTTTCCTAATCAGATAGAGCTGATCCACATCTGATTTTCCCGGCCACAGAGGCAATCCTGACAGCAGCTCAGCAAAGACACAGCCAATTGCCCAGACATCTACTGGGGGGCCGTACTGCGTGTCTCCCACCAACAGTTCAGGGGAGCGGTACCACCTGGTAGCCACATAGTCTGTGTAGTAATCACTCGGTCCAGCTGGCCAAAGATGAAACATGGAAAACAGAGCAGTAGAAAGCTCGAATCAAAACTGAGAGGGGAAGACCTAAGAAATCAAGATTGTGCCCAATCTTGTCGCTTTTTTAAATCACTGGTTCTCAATGCTGTTTGCACTTTAAAATCACTTGGAATATAATATTTTTCAGATTAAGAATGCTTGGGCCACACCCCAGCCTAATTAAACCAGAATCCCTGGGGAGGGTCTGGGGGTATCAGTATAGATTTTAATGTTCCCCAGATGTTCTAATCTGCAACCAAGGTTGAAAACTATTCTAAAGTAGCATTTCTGGAAAGTATTATTTTTGCTTGTTTGTTTGTTTATTTTTGGTGGCTGGCCAGTATGGGGATCCAAACCCAAGACTGTGGTGTTATAAGGCTGTGCTCTAACCATTTAGATAGCCAGCCCAAAATTGGGAGAAGTGAGGAGGGTAACATTCTTTTTAATAACCAATTTACTGTGGTATAACTTATGTATAACATGCATATTTAAACCACTTTGTGTTTACACTTTTCGGTAATTACAGAATTACAACTTATAGCAAGCTTATGTCCTAAATATTCAAGAACTAGCTTTCTATATCTTTTAGATCCTGTATCATATCAAGAACTTTTCCATCTTTTACATTTAATGAAAGAAAACCAATACTCACTCAAGAGCCGAGCAAATCCAAAGTCACAAAGCTTAATTACTGAATGTTTTGTAATGAGGATATTTTCTGGCTTCACATCTCTATGAATGCACTAGATACAAAAATCAAAACCAAAATAGATTATTAAGGAGCAACTATAATATACGGGATAAATAAGACACATGAATATTTGGCAAATATTGGAGAAATCATTTGAATCTTTCATTGGCCTGTTGGTTAACAGCAAAATAGCAGCCTAAAATAAATCTAATACCATATCTATCATATCCCACATTCCTAAAAGGTCCAGAAAGACCAAGAAGTATGAAAGGAAAAATGAAAGTTGGATAGCAAGACTTAGCAAATAGAAATACAGGACACCCAGTTAAATCTGAATTTCAGATAAACAATAAATAATTTTTTAGTATAAGTACATCCTATGCAGTATTTGGGACACACATACTAAAAAGTTATGCTTGTGTATCTGAAATTCAAATTTAACTGGGAGTCCTGTATTTAACCTGACAACTCTAGGTGAAAGGGAGAATGTGAAAAGGCTCTGGGTGAGGCCTGCATCATGGTTGCAGGAGCTGCAAGTTGGTACATTAGCAGAATTCACATTAGAGTTTAGCTGAGAACAGAACACAGTCGGCCTGGTAAACAGGACAAGCCCTGGGCCTGCTGAGATAAGCTGGGGAAGAGAAGGGCGGGAACCACGAGCTTGCCAGGACATTCGTCCCGACGAGATAAACAAGAGCAGGCAACAACCCTCATCCTCTAGGGAGAGTCGCTAGATGTCAGCTATGTCCCACACACACCAAGTGCTCTCCTAGCAGCAGCCACCCCTTGAGATGTGGACCCTGCTCTATAATTTAGACTCAGATCACCTGTGGTTTTCAGACCACAGCCAACATTCTTCAACAGGGTGATGTTAGAAGAACGTTTGAGAATCTTCACATGCTTTTCTCATTAAATGACACTTCCCTTGGCAAAGAACAGAGTAAACAACCTAATTAATAATTACATTAAAAAAAAAATAGTTAGGTTAAAATATTGCCCAGACTTCCTAGTAATCTTCCCTTCTTCCAAGTGTTTTCTTTGGATTCCTCTGCAACCTGAGAGACCTTTTTGGCCAGCAGCCTGAAACCCTGGGGTTAATCTTAACTTTCTAGAATCTGGAGAGGACAGGGGTTCTTCTTGGGCCTTGCTAGTTCTCACTCCAAAGGACCTTCGTGGTGAGAGGTCAACATCAATGTTTCCCCATGGGTATTTATTATTCTGCAAAATTTGGGGAGAGGAAATTTTTAAGTTATTACAGTCTATCTGGTTCTCGTCAATTAATGGTTCTGAGATCTCTACTCTTTTACCACTGGCTTCACTTATTGCTATAAATGGGCACTCCCATGAATGTCATTATGACATATGGTCAGAAGTACTTGTAAGTGAGAATGCGCTTCCATTCTGTTCTGGGAATTCTTTCGAAGTTTCTGCACCCTCCCCCATCAGTACATGGAGCCAAACAGAGAGCTGGGGGCCCCCCAGGGAACTGTGGTATGTGTTATATTTGCCTTTAGTGTCTCAGATCTGCCCACCAGGGCCTTCACGTGGTCTCTCTCACTACCACATCCTAAAACCTGCTCTCAGGAAAGTGTTACCCATCACTCACAGTAACTAGCAATATAAAGTGTCCATGCTCCCTGGTGGATACAATGGTATATATGTTTTGACAGGGATTGTAGCCTTCAGCTAAGTGGAGGCTTAGTAGGGAGATGTACCAGCTACTCTCATATTTTCTCCTTTTGGGAATGCAGCTTCAGGAAAAAATCACTTGGAATAGCACAAGGAAGGGGATTTCGCCCTACCAGCTAAACTGACCCTGGCAGTCGGTGGGATGAAATATTGCAGTCAAATTGCACTCGCAGCAAAATGCAGCTCCAACATTGGAATCTGGTTCATGTGTGCAAGGAGTGGGCAGTGTTGAACTGGAGAGAGCAGCAGGCTTCCAAGCATCTGTGAAGTCATATCACCTGGGCAACAGTTCACTGTGCCTCCTGCCAGCCCAGCTATGGCTGCGAGTGTCAGAGGCTTTCACTAGGCTGCTGCGGTCAGACTCCACACCCATATCTCCCCAAAGCAGACACCAGCCCTTGTGCATCGGGCCTCTGACTCCACCTGCTGCAACTGGAATACTGCAACTAAATAGGCATGAGTCACCTGGCGTTCCCCCTCCCAATCTCAAAGCCTTTTGGGGGCACCAGACCAATACAGACTCCAAGTGAATGGGATTCTACGTCAAATACGAGTAGTTTCAAATCAGTATAAGTCATATATATGACTTGTTTCTTAAAGTCAATCATGTTTTATATAACCTAAGCAAGAAGGAATACTAGGTTGGCATTTTTAGCCTCTACATATCTCAACCAGGCTTAAGAAGATTTGGGTGAAAACTTATACACACAAAAATAGGCTGTACACTTTGTACAAGGCTCTACCTCAGCTTTAGGGCAGCCTTGAATTTTCAAGGGAGATCCATGCAACTTACATTGTGTTCATGGCAAAAATTTACAGCTTGCAATGTCTGCCAAGTTATTTTCTTCACGAGATGTTCTGGTACCCTAATAAAAATAAAGCAGCACAAACACATTCTTTAGTGTAGCCATGGAATTCAGCTCAAGAAAAGAAAAAGTAAACCAAGACAGTAGTGAGAAATCCTAGGTTACACATAGAGTCATTTAACTCATCATTCCACGAGCAATCATTCCATGAATCCAAAGTGTAAAAACATGTGAACGGCACAATCGTTGAATTCTAGGGACAGCAGATTAATTAAAATGTCAACATCTACTTCTACAAGGTGGAATTATGAGAACCCACAGAGATTTCAACAAGTACTTCGAAATCTGCAACACCACTGGGAAACTGCCTGGTAACTGGAGCTCTATTTCTATAAGGAACTTTTTATTGATGTAAAGTTAGTTAACATACAGCACAAAAGTTGCTGTTTATTTTTTTGAGTTGCCCCAGACTTGAAGCAGGATTCATCTTCTATGTGTGGGTATGAAGTTTCTCCAGACTCCAAAGGCAACATTTTTTTTAAAAAAATATTTGGTTTTTTAGGTAATGAAGATTTTACTGACTACAGGGAAGAGGTTTACATTGCACACCATGTGACAAAAGTTAATAACAATTAAAAACCCAGAGCAGCATCGTGGTTCCCCCCACACTGCTGCTGTCTGGGAGCCAGCTGCATGTCTGCCCTGTCCTCTATCACAGCAGCTAGGCTGCAGGCACTTCTTCCCTGACTCTCAGCTTATGAAACCAAGGCAACCAGTAGGTTTTGCAGGTCTTTTATGTGAATTGAAAAAAGGCATCACCTCTGGGAGCGTTTTTAAAAAAAAATATTAGGTGATGAGTGAAATGGAGTACAGAGAGAGTGCATTTATTTTCAGAGGCCCCCACCCACCAACTGGACTTACTGTTTTTATGAATCAGACATGAAACAATGTTGCTGTGGTCCTCGGCCAAAACTGATAAGTAAACCAGGGAAGAAACTCTGGAGTAGTTGTGTTAAGGTGACCACTTAAAGTCACTTCTAGCCTCTGGGAGAGGTTCTGAGGCCACTGTCGTCACAGACCAGTTATTCAGGAAATCCTTTCAAGCAAATCAGAGGATGTTTGAACAGAGAGTGGAAAAACATAGAGGAAATGAAGAGACCACTTCCAGGAAGAGCAGCTGGGACATTTCTGGACCAGGTCTGTGTCCCTGGGCTTGAACTAGCTGCTCTCCAAATTCTCTTCCTTGTTCTAGTAGCATATAGGCACAGATGCTACAAAAACTCACCTGTCGAGAGAGGGAAGGTCTAGAAAGATGCAACTAAGAATGGTACATTTGGGGGGAGGCTTTCCCCCAGCCTCTAATATTTGTCCAAAATATACGTATATATATATATATATATTTTTTTGATTAGACAATGAATTAAGTATTAATGTAAGGTTATCGGTGCCAGCAACTTTAGTCTCTAAAAATATTTCTCAAAAAATTATGCAAAAAGAGTTATTATAATTTAAAAGTAAATTATAATAGCAGAGTATTAATGCTCCTCTGATGCTGAGCACATTATTATGTAATTCTCAAATGTAAGTCTCTGTATAAACCAGTGTCATCTAGGGCTGGCTACTTCATTTCTTTGTCACTCAGTTTATCCTTCTCTGGAATGAGGGGGCCTCAGACTCTAAGATCCCTTTTAGCTGTATCACACTAAGATAATAGGAGCCAGATTTTCACTGTTGGAGGAGGTTACAAATATAGAAAGGAAGAAAAAAAGAATATGTTCAGTGGTGTTGGGTTGGAATTGGATGTGTGTGTGTGTGTGTGTGTGTGTGTGTGTGTGTGTGTGTGTGTGTGTGTGTGTGTGTGTGTGTGTGTGTGTGTGTGTGTGTGTGTAGAGGAGTGAACAAGTGTGCTGGACAGGGTACTATCTTATATAAGGTCCAGAAAGTTTCCCTGCTTAAGGAAACATCCGAAGTAGAGGGTAAGGTGGTGAGAAGTGGCCAGATTCGGGATATATTTATAGAGCCTCCAGGACTTTCTCAGGGATGGGATGTGAAAGATAGAAATCAAAGAATGACAACAAGGTTTTTGGCTTGAGTAACTGGTATGTGGTAGTGCCTTTTATTGAGGGACACACTGGGGGAGAAGTTGTGGCAGGGAGTGGAGGGTGGAAAACCTGAGATGCATATTGGACACCCAAGAGAAGAATCTGAATAGGCAGTTCTGAATTCAGAAAGACGTTCGGCTGGAAATACAAATTTGAGAAACATAAGCATATTGATGGTATTTAGAGCCTAGGACTGAATAATTCCATGCAAGGCGTGAATACACATAAAGAAGAGGAGTTCAGAAGTAAGTTCTGAGGCCCTTCATCATCTATATGTAGGAAAGAGGAGGGGATCCAGCCAGGGAGTCTGAGACTGAGCATCGAGTGAATGATGGTTACACTCGGGAGAATACAGTGTCCCAGGAGCCACCTGAAGAAAGTGTTTCAAAGGACTTCTGAGTTAAGATAATGAATTGAACAAGCCTGTCTAATTTCATTCTTTCCCCAAACCTGACTAGAACTACACTGAAGACATTTTTTTTTTTCCTTTTTGTCTTTTTTCGTGACCGGCAACGGATCGCAACCCTCAGTGTCGCCCCCGTACCGGACCGGGACCGGCCACGGGATCGCAACCCTCGGCGTTGCTCCCGCCCCTCGCTCAGCCAGTGAGCGGCCTGTCTGTATGTTGTATGCTATACGAAGTTATTACGCCCGTACCGGACCGGGACCGGCCACGGGATCGCAACCCTCGGCGTTGCTCCCGCCCCTCGCTCAGCCAGTGAGCGGCCTGTCTGTATGTGGGATCGGAACCCTCCGCGGCAGCGCCACTGCGCCACTGCTATAGTGCGCCACTGGGCCGGCCCAACTGAAGACATTTTTTAAAAGACAAAAATCCACAAGGTCAGAGAGAACAGAAGAGATAATAGCAACACATTTTGGGATCTGGAAAGCAGATGAATGAATGACAATTGACTTAACAGGTGCTAGAAGGCTGAAATCTAAGGAGAGGGTAAAGTGGAGAACCCACCAGTTTACGCCCAAGGAATCTTTGAAAGGCTGAGGAACTAGCAGCCAAGATCTCTGAAACTGGGAGCTAAGGAGGAGAGAGGAAAATCTGTTGAGGAAACAATTAAATCCCTTGATTGCCTTCCCTATTCTATACCACTATGGAACACTCTTTCCCCTACTTGGTGGAGGGCTGGAGTTTGGTTTTCTGGAGAGGATAAAATAGAAGACATTTGGCATAGTTGAGATTGTGGATACTATTCTGAAAACAGGGGATTAAATGACTGCATATATATGAACTGTCAAATGCTGAGATTCCCCAGCCCTCTTTCTTCACTCAGCTCTGAGAAAGCCAGCAGGCTGGCTTCACTCTGCAGGCAAAATATCAGAAGACTTTTTTTAGGGAAGCTCAGGAGGAAAGACCTAAAGATTCTGACATCGGGGTTTCCCCAGCAAATGGCCCAGCCAGATAACCCTACAGTGAAGCTCAGAGCTTCCAATAGTTCCCTCCTCTTAACCATGGGCATACAGCCAGAGATTATATGATGCCCAAGAAAAGCCTCTAATAAGAAAGTGAGAGATCGGAACAAACAGACAAAAATAACTTATAAGAAACAGAAACTATGAAGGGTGAAGAGAATATTTTTGAAAATAATTAGTATCTTCAGAGAGAAAAGGAAAGCTGTTGCATCCATGAAATAAGAACAGGATATGAGAAGAAAATGAGAGGACCAGTCTAAGAGTCCAACACTGAAGGTCCAGAAAAAGAAACTCGGGGAAAAAACAGATAGGGAAATCAATAACAAAACAACTCAAAAATTTTTTTCTCAGAAAGGGCCCACCAAGTGCCAGCATAATGGATGAAAATCAGGCCCATGATTTTCATAATCCCAAACACTGAGAACAAATAGAAGATTGTACAAACATCTGGAAATAAAAAAGAAACATGACTTTACATAGGAGCAAAAAATAGAATGGCATCAGACTTCTTAACAACACTAGACTATAGATGGCACTAAAACAATATCTCCAAATTTTGAAGGAATATTATTTTCAACCCAAGACAAAGCTATACCCAAACAAAACATTAATCAAGTGTGAGAATAGAATAAAGACTTTTTTTGTTGTTTTTGTTTGTTTTTTTGGCAGTTGGCTAGTACAGGGATTTGAACCCTGGGTTTTGGTATTATCGGAACCATGCTCTAACCAACTGAGCTAACCAGCCAGCCCAGAATAAAGGCTGTTAAGACATGCACCAGCAAAGTCTCAACCTCAGTTTTTTGTTTTCTTTTTTCTTTTTTTTCCTTGTACCTCTCATACATTCTTTCTCAGGAAGGCCCTGGAGGATGTACACGACCATAAAGGAGTAGTGAACTATAAAAGAAGATTACATGAGCTAGAGCAAACTGGAAACCCAACACAAGAGGGAAGCCATGGAAATCTCTGGGAGGATGATGAAGGGAGATGATAGGATAACTGCATTCCAGGAGTAAAAAACAAACCAGTCCAGACTGGAATAGTGTGACTCAAGAGCCAGGCACGGTGAAGGCTGTCATCACTATGCCTTCTGCCTTGACCATCTTAAATAAATATGCAAGTATTTAACAAGCAAACTTAAAAGCTTTGGAAGAATCTGGGTGACTGGCCAGACCCTTCAGGCAAAGGCAGATGTCCTTAAAGTTGTAGCCTGTGCTGGCAAGGCTAAGGAACTCACTCCACTTGAAAGTGTTTTGTTTCCACATTGGTGGTAAATGGCGGTCATGGCTGAGCTCTGGGGCAGAGTGGGGAAGGACTGGAACAGCGATGAATGGAAGGGGCCCAATTTCCTCTCATTCTGTACTGCCTTTAAGAGCCCTTCTAGCTCAAAGGCAAGCTCTCCCTTAGGAGGAATCATACATAAGCTCAACTTCAACCTATGAGAGAAGAAGGGGGTTTGTGCTTTTCTCCCAGGCCTGGTTCTCCTCCTCTGCCATGGGATTAGGAGATTAAAAACTCTGGACAAGCTGCATCCAC